GGTAACATCGTCTTCTGAGCAGCTCCATGTGTTCACGTAAGTGCTCGTTCTGGACACACGGATGCTGGCAATGTGCCTGGTCCAGAGGAGGCTGTTGCCCCACAGACAGTGCGGTCCCTAACCCTGACGCGGGTGAAACCCCCAAGGATTGTTGGGTGAACTGAGGACCGCTCCACTGCTGACAACGTCAAGACCTAGCTGTTGTTCCCACAGAGTCCAAACTATTGATGCAAGTCCGACAGCTTAGTTCTCTTTGGGTTCTGGAGACAACATATTCTGCATTCACTGAGGCTCATGTTGAAATCCAAACTGCACACATAAACAGGCAGAAATTAACTGAAAATAACATCAACTAAAGTCAGAAATAAAAGTGAAAATGTTGCACTTTCAATTTGGAAAAAAAAAAGATATTTCTTGGCCCATGAAAGTTCCAAACACAGTTGACACAGGACAGTCATCAGCTGTTCACTGCAGAAATGCCACGTTTGTCTGTTCTTAACTGTTTTCGTTTTTCTTTTTGCATGAAAGTGGAGTGGAGACCCTGCGCCTCAGGGTAGAAATTCAAGTTCCACAGATCCTACATGTCATGTTTCTAATTCTGCCTCTTCTTGATCTTACCTTGTTTAGACGTCCCGGATTTCTCCGCCTCATTTCCTTCTATTTTCATGTTCAAATCCCAAGGTCCGTGTTACCGATGTTTTTCCGGAAGGTAATTTGCTTCTCAGAGACAGGCTTCTAGAATGTCACAGAATTTTCCAAATTACTTGACTCAGTCCTATTTCTGCCTATTCTATGGGAATTATCATCAGTCTCACAGAGAGGTATAGAAAAGTAACAATAATGCTGATTATAACTGTACAAATGCAGCCCTTTATGGGGCACGTGTGGCCATGACAGGAGTTAGTGTGGTCCTTCCAGAATCATTTTATTTACCGTTTGCAGCAGCCCTGTGAGGGAGGGTCAGGGTCACAGGTGAGTAGTCTGCTCTCTGTCAACACACAGTGGGTCTGAGGAGAGGCCTCTGACCCCCCTGCCCACATACGCTCCCCGACGGTGTGGGGTTCTGCAGCCACAGATGAGTGAAATGATGGTTAACCCAGCAGCTTTTCATGAGAAAACCATGGAGAGAGTTGAGGAGGAAGGAAAAGAAACAAACTATGTTTATTTCTTAATATTAAATCATTAATAGAGTTTTCAAAGTATTGAGAATTTTAATTCCGTGATCTTACTGTTTTGCTGTATCGGTATAATTGCTGATTACTGTACTGAACTTTTGGGAGTCAAAAATGCTCACCAGTTTTATAAATAAATCCAGTTTCTGTTTAATTTTCACTGCTTACAATGAATTTAGAATGTGAGGATGACTCTATTTCATCAGAATGATTTTTGACTCAGTTAACACTTCTCACTTTTCAAGTTTAGGGTCACACCCCTCATGGTATTGGGGACATCCGGATGGTTGTCATGAAGTGTAAGATAGTTTATTTTGCTTTCATTAGAACTCCAATCATTAAACCATTTCCAACTCGAGTTGCCCCCTGTGAGCGGAAACAGCCCTGGGACTTGTTTCTGTATTGAGAGGAGGTCCCGTAATCCACTCACTCCTCTTTATTCTGTGAGAGCAATTTCTGAATCTGAGTTTGAAATGTCCCTACAAACTTCCTTCCCATCTATCCTTCAGAAAAACTTTTTTTTAAATGGAGAGATTTATTTCCTAATTTACTGAACTCTCACCCTAGAGGGGATCCTTCAGTTTCATTCTGAGGACCATGTGAAATGCAGATGGAAGACTCCGTGTGTGTTGATAATGGTAGTTACAGGGGAGGGCAGAGTGTTAAGCTTTTCTCTGTGTGTATGTTTGAAACTATTCCCAATAAGATACAGTGTATTACACGGGTACAGTGTTTCTTTTTGAGATGTTGAAAATGTTCTAAAATTACATTGTGGTGATGATTGTGCAACTCTGTAAATTTACCAAAAGCCATTGATTTGTACCCTTAAAGTGAGCAAATTTTTTGTCATGTTAATTATACCCTCATAAAGTTGTTAAAAAAATAAAATGGACCAAATTCCCAGACAAAAATTAATTCGGCAAAGACAGAATAGTACTGTTTGGAAGACTTGAAAAGCACTGTTGATCATGTATATTTACTTTAATGTATTTTTTTTACTTACAAATATATTGTAAGAATTATATCTTTAATAGATGATTATCTATAGTTGGAAAGTAATGCGGTATTTTATTTATGAGTTTATGTGACTTGCCTATCTTTTACACAGTAAGAATAATATTGAGAATGCTTATAAAACCCTGATTAAGAAATTGGAAGAATGTAGAGTTTCAGCATTGGGACATCTTTTTGGAAATTTTAAATGGGAAAATATGATGGAAGAGGTACTGAAACGTTTTTAAAAACTCTCGACTTTAACTGTTTAATTATAAAATAGATGCAAAAGTCGTACAGAGCCCCCATGCACCCCTCCCCCAGCCTCCCTTCATGTTAGCACCTGGTGTAACCAAGTGCACCTGTCCAGCCAGGAAGTTAGTGTCAGTGTAACAATAGTAACTAAGCTCAGACATTATCTGAATTTCACTTACTTATACACTGTCCTTTTTAAAGACAAAATTGAGAAACATATTAGCAACAGACTTTAATAGATCACTTTTTCTGATTATCAAAAAATTCTTCATAAATTTTATTTTTACTGGGTGCATAATATTTCTCTAATGCCCAACATTTAAATTGTTTGAAAATTTGCTTTAACAAAGAACTCCACAATTACAAATATATGTATGTATGTGCGTAACTGGGACATTGTACTGTACACCAGAAATTGACACATTGTAACTGACTGTACTTCAATAAAAAAAAAGAACTCTGTGACAAACATTTGGATGCATAAATCTTGGTACACATTTTGTGGTATTTACCTAACCTAGGTACCTAGAACTTGAGTAGTCAATCAAAAGTATCAACATATTTAATTATAATCTTATGTTTTGCTAAGTAGCTTTGCAGTAACTCTGTTCCTATTTATATTCTTATTAATAAAGTATAAGAGAAATGACATGTCATATGATTTCCAGTGCTATTATCATTAAGATATACTTTGCAACCTTGGAAGTAAAAATATGCTAATTGTTCTTTTTGCTACTTAAGAGGTTAACATTATTATTATTATTTGTATTTCTTTGGTGAATTACCTGCTCATATTAAAGGCTTAGATGTTTTCTTATTGATTTATAGGAACTTCTTACATATTGAAGCTTTTAACAATTTCACTGAAATACTATTTTCTCATTGTAAATTTTGTTTTAGATAGGAATAGTTATAGTTTTGTGTCATCAGATGTGTTCTCTGTATTTCTTCCAGTGAGATCACTTATGATTGAAAATGTTTTTCTGAACATCATGACATTTTACAATTTCTTTTTGTGACAGGCATGTGAAATGATTTCTCTGCTTAAGGAGCTGTGGCCGGAAGAGTCTGATATTTGACGAGTTCTTTTCGTCACTTCACGCTCGTTGTTCTTGAGTTTGTACACAACATCTTAGAGAACAGGTCGCAGACTCCCGCTGCTCAGGAAACTAACACCCAACAGGTGCGATCATTATTTTACTGTGAAATACAACACCATGGCTCTCTGTGTTTGAAATTTTATTGATTTTCATTTCCCCAATTCATTTGATTGACTTTATTTCTCTAATTTATATGAACTTCCAAACAAGGGGTAGGGGAGGCGATAGAATTTGTCTTTAAGACTCATCGATTGTGCTGTTACACGATTCGGTGTTTTACTCTGCACGTTTCCCTTAGTCCACGTCTAGTCAAATCTGTCCAGTCCTCCCAGGAAGAAAGGAGCTGGCACTGGTGAGAGCGGGCTGCCTTCCGAGGTTCGGGGCCCCTCACACCCCTTCTGCCCTTAAATCCTCACAGTAGCATTTTAGGGGGCGCTGTCATTCTTATTTCACGGATGGGCACGCTGAGGTTCAGAGGGTCCGGGGAGAAGTCCTCAACCGAAGTGTTAAATGCGGTGTGGCGTGAACCCAGGGCTGTCTCGTCCCGGTTCCGCTGGCCCACACGCCCCTGGAAGCGGCAGTCCTGCCTCCCGTCCTCGCCGGGGAGACACGGAAGGGTCGAGCCTTCCCCGGCTGACGGGGGCCGCGCGGCTTCGCTGTCCCGCTGAGCAGCCGTCCCTGCGCTGCGCACACGCGCTCACACACGGGTCCCCCTGCTGCCGTGGAAGAGTCTCACTAAGGAAAAACGAAGATTTGTCTCTTTCTTCCGCAGTTTCAGAAATGAGCGGGGCTCACCGTGCTTCTCTTGCGTCCTTTGTCTGTGTGAGTCGTGTCCTGGCAGCGCGTCCCCACGGGGCTAAGCGGGTCATCTCAGGCGACCACCCAAGTGACCTA